GCATTTTGTTCTTCACCTAACATAAAAATATAGCTTTAAATATTTAATGACTTATATTTAAATCATCTTACCTTATAAAAAACTTAGTCAAATAAAACAATTACAGAAATATTAAAATAAATCACTTCGTTAATCACAAAATTGGACGAATATTAAAAGCGAAAACTAAACACGTGCACACCCTGCTCTATGTAAACAGAGAGGTCAGGTCTCGTGCTGACGTCACTAACTTGGCATTCCTGGCTAACATTGTAGAATAGGGATCTGGCTATCCTTGTAGTATATAGTCCTTGGTCCTAACCAATCATTTTGTTGTTGAATGTTCTTGCTTTTACTGTTTTCAGTTAATTCATTGCAAGATTAAGGAAAGTCACACTAAACGTTTTTGGTTCAAATTAAATTCAATAAAATTGGTTTATCGCAAAAACGTATGTTTATAAAATTGATTTTCTTCCTAAAAAACTTGATACTATCAATATATAAATTTTATGGGGACTTCCGTATAAAGCATTTGTAGTATCTAGATGATTGTAATTCGGACTTCAAAATGTAACTTTAGAATATTTAGTACATCGGTTTGTAAAATAATCGACAGTGTTTATAAAGAAACATGCTTCTGGAATATATTGGAACATTATGATGAGCTTCAGTTTGTATCTTTAAGCCAGATTCCAGGCACCCATTGTGGTTCTGTGTCTAAAATATTGATTTCATGCAACAGTTCGTTGTATGTTTTGTCCGTATCAGAATTAATAATTATCATATTGAAGAAATGACCATAGTTTTCCTCCATCTCTCTTGCTTTCTCAATGATATCTTTTAATTCTTCATCTTTTACAGTTGCACCAGATTTTATGCGATTCTGACGTAATTTTTCAAGAGAAGGTGGCGCAACAAAAACTACATATGGTTTAAGATCAGAATACTTCAGTATCTTTAATGACTGAAAAACAAAAAAATAAAATAAAATGTCAAAATTTTAACAAACATCAAATAACAAAACAATTTAAATTAAAATTATTTGTTGTCAGTTAATATAAATTTTATTAATGCAATATCTCTATACATAAAATTAAAGTAATTCTGATTATTATTCAATAATTAATTTTAATTTCTGACACTTGCTAAAAACATTAACTTTTGCATACATTGCAATAGTTAAGTTTTTAATAAATTTCAGCATGCCATCATAATGGAAAAGAATGTAGGAAAAAAAAAATCCATGTAAAGTTCTAGGCTAAAACAGACTAACAAGTTCTAAATTTCTTTAGCTTGTTTTAATTTAAAATGTTAATAATTCTGATAAATACATTTTGAGTGAAAGTATACAATCTTTTACTAACAATTAATTCAATAAATCACTTTATAAATATGGATTAAATGCAGCATTTAAAATGCAATATATTAAGGCATACACCAGCTTGTTTTAATTTAAAATGTTAATAATTCTGATAAATACATTTTGAGTGAAAGTATACAATCTTTTACTAACAATTAATTCAATAATTCACTTTATAAATATGGATTAAATGCAGTATTTAAAATGCAATATATTAAGGCATACACCAAAATAATTCAATTGAAATAAAAAACTGTCTTTTTAATATTAAAAAAGATTAAATAAAAATTCTGTATAGTTTCTACAGCTGAAATGCACACGTTCTCTTTCTTTATCTGTTTCATTGAAGATTATTTATTTAAGTATTTTCATTGAAGATTTATTTATACAATAAAGTAATTTCATTAAAGATTTATTTATACAATAAAGTAATTTCATTAAAGATTATGGTCTTATTAATAAATAATAAGGCTTTATTGTATAAAGCCTTATTATTTANAGACTAACAAGTTCTAAATTTCTTTAGCTTGTTTTAATTTAAAATGTTAATAATTCTGATAAATACATTTTGAGTGAAAGTATACAATCTTTTACTAACAATTAATTCAATAAATCACTTTATAAATATGGATTAAATGCAGCATTTAAAATGCAATATATTAAGGCATACACCAAAATAATTCAATTGAAATAAAAAAACTGTCTTTTTAATATTAAAAAAGATTAAATAAAAATTCTGTATAGTTTCTACAGCTGAAATGCACACGTTCTCTTTCTTTATCTGTTTCATTGAAGTTTATTTATTTAAGTATTTTCATTGAAGATTTATTTATACAATGAAGTAATTTCATTAAAGATTATGGTCTTATTAATAAATAATAAGGCTTTATTGTATAAAGCCTTATTATTTATGTATAATAGCTTTATTGTACTTATTTTGTACAAGGGGAAGTTGCATACTTTAACAAACATCTTAAACAGCTGAATTAAGAAAAAATTTCACAAACTCCCATATAACTAATATCAGGAGACTAAATTTACAATACTTCCATAACTGCTAAATATTTATTTACAGAAGGGCTCCAGAAACAAGGCTTCTACAAAGATAAACATTTTTAATTGTTATTCTGACACAAGAATAATAAGACAAAAAGGTGTATGGTTTATTAATATCTAAATTAATATATTTATCAATACAAAGAATAAGCAGAATTTGTTATATTTCAGATGTAAAATTAAAGATTTGACATGATAATTCATTTCGTATAAAAGATAATGATGGGGACTAGGGTAAATGTAGATCACAGAGTAACGAGGTTCAAGCATTAACCTATCCTGTTGTAATTTTACACCAATATAAGTCTGTACAATATCTGCCGAAAAATTTCAACTAATGAGGAGATTGAGCATTAAAAAAATAGGAAATTTTTAGAGAGAAGCAAGCCAACAGTCATTTCCTTTAGATAACTCCACAAGTTAAAAATCAAACTTTTGTTGTAAGTCAACCTCAGGCAGTCAGTCTTAATAAAAAAAAAACAAATTGAATCATTTGATATAATGGCAATCCAAAGGTGGTCTTCCAGATTCTGTGGAGTGTAACACCAGATATTATGAACATCCTAATTTTAAAATACGATTAATAAAATAAACTTGGATTTTCTCAATTCTATCCAAATATTTTATTCTATTATGAGTCAGATATATGGTTATATTGTTTTTTATTAATTTATATTCCAAATAGACATGTTTTAATGATGCATGATTTTAACTTTTATGAATTTTTTTTATTTTCATGAATAGTCTGATTAGATCTTGTATAACAGTAGTTACAATGATGAATAAACTTTTTATTGAAGGAAAATGTAATGCCTAAATATTTAACAGTAGAAAATATCAGTAATATAATTATCAAATAAATGCATAAAACTGGATGCTTATACAAAACATACAAAATACATAAAAATCCAGCAAAATTTATTGAAGAAAAATAAAGTACTACTTTCAATAGTAATCCTTAGGTTAAAATAAAAACAAGAATCTGAACATAAAATTTCAAACAGACCAAACAAGCATTTGATTAGATGTAGTGGTAATTATTATTGTCACTGTTTATAAATGAAATCCTTGTTAATATTGACCTCAAAAATCTGTTAATGCTTGTGAAAAGATATTGTAATCCTTATAGTTTATAGAACCAACAGAAAAAACAGCCATAAATTTCAAGTTTCTCTAAAGGTTCACCTTTAAAAAAACTTGAAATTTAGGTTACCATGCTACCAATAAAGGTTACTCTAAAGGTTTACCTTTAGAGTAACCTTTATTGGTAGCATGGTAACCTCTATTTATTGGTAGTATGGTAACCTCTATTTATTGGTAGCATGGTTACTCTAAAGGTAAACCTCTAAAGGTTTACCTTTATTGGTAGCATGGTTACTCTAAAGGTAAACCTCTAAAGGTTTACCTTTAGAGTAACCTTTATTGGTAGCATAATTGGCAAGCGCCAAATCCGACAGAGGGCGCTGTTTTTGAGCCAAGATGGCTGCCGAAACAGGTAAGGAGCCAACCACGTGTTTGTTCAGTGCCTGAGCCGATTCAGTTTCTATCGGTGGCGACTACTGCGAGGACCAAATGAAGAACAAATCATTGAATTTATGTCAAATTCTAGACTATATCGGCGACAGGAAACGTTGTCTTGTAGAATGTGAAGCCGTTTTGGATATATGTGAGGTACACACACACACACACATTATGTTGTGTGTGTGCTACACAACCAAACTTGACTGGCCTATGTTGTATAAGTGCTGAATGACTCAGTAGGTCAGCCTTCAGATTGGCACTAATTTTAACTATTATAATAAATAAAACTTTGTTTTTATGTTGGAACATGGTGTATACTGCTTAAAATATTTAAATACTTCTCACCTGTTAACGTGTAATAAACGTGCTATCACACGTTTACAAAAACCAGACAGCTCCGCTTTGCACGTGCATTCTCCCTGTAATTGAGATGTATTAAAATGCCAATATCTGAGATTGCAACACTAAAGCAACAGCATGAACTTCGGTGTTGTTGTTAAGAGTTTAATCCACAAAATACGATGTGTCCACATCCAAAACGGCTTCACCTTCTACAAGACAACGTTTCCTGTCGCTGATATAGTCTAGAATTCGACATAAATTCAATGATTTGTTCTTCATTTGGTCCTCGCAGTAGTCGTCACTGATAGAAACTGAATCGGCTCAAACACATGGTCGCCTCCTTACCTGTTTCGGCAGCCATCTTGGCTCAAAACAGCGCCCTCTGTCGGATTTGGCGCTTGCCAATATTTGAGATGTTGAAAGAAATTTGGACCTGGTTGTCAGCTGAGAAGATCGCCTGGGCTGTTTAGGTGAGAACTTTCTTGAATGAACTCCTATACTTTTTTAATCAGAGGTATTGTACAATGAATGAGAGGTAGTCACTATATATTAAAGCTTTTGTCCAACTCTATTGTCACAAATTGGAATAGGAATAGACCTCTGGGAAGGGTCTTTTTTTATTAATGGGGTCTTTAGCATTTCTGAGGATCATATAAATAGTTGGGTTATGTTGATAGCCAATAGTGATATTTGAAAGCCTTCGCTAGTTCTTTAAAGATATACTTGAGCTGTTCATTGTACAACTCTCGTTACAACTCTGTATAGTTTATCCTGTTTCCTGTTGTGTTCCTTGATTAATCCCTTGATAGTTTTATAATGGTAGCTATGCTGAATGGCAAGATGTGAGATATATTTTAGTTCTTTTGCTTTGTCTTTGTTGGTGGAACATAAAAGGTCTCTTGATAAGGGCTCTGAATGCTCCAATTTTGACAGAGTAAGGCTTTTTGAATTTTCAAGAATAAAAAGTGGATAATACATGAGAAAAATTAACAGATAAATTTAACAAAGGATCAAATACTACTACCATTCCAATAATTTATTCATTTAAAACAGTTTAAACAAAACATGTAATTGTTTTCAAGATAAATTCAAACAAAAAAATAAGGAATCATTATTTTATTGGAGTCTAAAACAACTTTTAAACTCAAGTAAACAGTAAGTGATTTGGGTAATCACTTTTATAATTAGATATTGTAATTAAAGTTTGATGTTACTATTTAATTTGGATAATATTTAGCACAACTTAAGTATTTCTGATATATTAAATAAAAAAAGATTCTTAAAACATATGTGGCAATAATGCTAAGTCACACATTTCTCAAACATATACAATAAGTCTATGCATTCAATTTGTATAGATTCCTAGGCATTCATAGTCAATTCCACTTCTAATGAGAAATTCATATTTTCCTACTTAAATTACTTACATTCAGAAATATAGGTATAATTTCTAAAAAGACAATGAGAAAAAAAAGTGTCTCATAAATAATAGTTTTTGTTGAGGAATATCTTATAATATTATTATAACACTGCTGAAGAAATGCTTAAAAATTGAATGAATATAAGATATTCATTAAATTTTAAGCATTTCTTCAACAGTGTTATAATAATATTAACAAGTAATTAAACAAGTATAATAAGCAACAGAATAATAAAGCTATAAGTTTTCCATTAAATTCAAATCT